CTGGTATATAATGCCTATTGTTGTATTGTTGTAAGTTGTCTATTGTTGTTAAGATGCCTATTGCTGTAAAGTTGTTAAGATGTCTATTGCTGAAAAGTTGTATGTTGTTTAAGTTGTTAAGCTGATTAAGCTGTGATGATGAGTTGTTGATCACTAGGATTAGGGGAGATGTTTTCGAAGTTGCTCATTCCATTGTGTAGATTGAGATAGTTGTGGTGCTCTAAGAGCCCAATTTGTTGAAAAACCCTCGTTGGGAAGTTGTCCATTGGAGTGGATGTTGTGTTGTTCTTCTCTAGGACTTAGTTGATCCCGTGTGTGGGCAAGGTCGAGATACACGTGTACAAAGCGACCACGGGTGTAGGGGTCAGGCCGACCTATACCGATTACAAGTGGCCAGATGTTTATTGTTGTAAAGTTGTTATGGTGTTTATTGTTGTAAAGTTGAAAAGTTGGGGACATATGGTGAAGATATATGTCCTTTGTTGAGATACATAGTACTAAGGTGATAAGTTGAAAGTTGTTTTAAAGTTGAATCCCTTAGTACTGTGTGGGCGACATGGAAATAGTCGATCCATGTGATGATGAAGATTTTTCGCAATCTCACCACTTGGCAAGTGAACCAAGTTTCGAAGTAGTATTCAAATATCGTCCTCAGGGATTTGAGTGTTTAGTAACTCTTGCTCTAATGATTTAAATGAGAATGTTGTTATAATTACAAATGAGTGAAGATAGAGTAAAACAACACAATAAAATAAAAGTAGTAAAAGCTATGGTTAAGAAACAAGGATTGGTTCAGAGGTATTTGCTAACTCGTAGATCTTCTTAAGATAACTGCGATTCTAATTTCATTATTTCCACGTTCATTAAATAATCCAACAAGATTCCTCAAGGTTGAATCCTAAAGTCATTAAGCTCAAAACATGATTCCTCTATGTTTTGAGTTTAACACTTTGCATTAAGAACAATGACTTGAACAATGTGACTAACCAAATCAAGTCTATTCCTAGAACAAGAAATGATTAGGTGCAAGATTCAGTTCGGGTTTTCAAAAACGTTTTCCAACTGGATTCAAAAACCAAAAATCATACAACGGGTGATCAAGTCGATATAAGCATTAAGAGAAGAATCAAGCACAAATAATGAGATCAAAATGCATATATTTAAGAAGAAGAGGAGTTAGTAGTTACATCCAACCAATCCTTAATTAGTTTAGCCACACATGGCCATTACAAGATCTAAGAAGTAAAAGAAGAGATTACAAAGTAGAAGATGAGAACAAGGGGTTGGGCTTCGTTCCCAAATGACCCAGCTGCCCAAGTCTTCGTTCTTGCTCCGTTTCTCCCTTCACGTGCTTCTCAATATGTTTTTCTCTCTGTTTTTCGTGATCCCCTGTTTTTTCTCTTTTTCCCTTTTTATATGAGCTTCAAAACAGGGCCAAAAAGTGACTTTTACTCCCACAACTGCAGCTGTGGATCCACGGTTATGGCTGTGGAGAGTCCTTCAGGGTGAAGAAACCTCCAAAGCTGCAGCTGTGGTTTCACAGCTATGGCTGTGACAAATCCTTCAAGCTTAAGGAACCTCCAACGCTCAAGCGGTGAAGCCACAGCTATGGCTGTGGATCTCTGGGGTTGGTGTTGGGTCCTGGGTGCTTCCATGGCTTTAGCTGGGAGTCCACAGCTTTAGCTTCAACTCTCTGGAGCTTCAAATTGCATTTCAGATTTCTACAGCTATAGCTGCAGATCCACAACTATAGCTCCAACTTTTTGGACCTTTATATCCTTCCCAGACTTCCACAGCTCGATCTCTAGATCCACAGTTATGGCTGTGGATCTCTGCCTTGCCAAAAATCCTGCAAAAATGAGGAAATTCCTTAAGATTGCTACTACTCCTCTACTCTTATAGTATAACATAATTCTTTAAATAAAGGGGTGAAATAACATATATATTATCTACAATTATCCAAAAAGAGTACCAAAAGTTGAGTGCAAATCAAGCCTAAAAGACACTCAACACCATGTCATGGTTGAATGACCAATTTGAGTAAGGTATCTAGTTAGAGATGTAGTCTTTGACTAGATACTGGAGGGTGCGTGGTACTTGGAGGACAGTGGGTGAGCTAACTCCACATGTGGATTGGTGATGCTAGCTAAGGTCGTGGTAGGCTCATACCCAAACCCTTCTGTCCTGATAGTAGTACTGGACCTCCGAGTTTAAGTGGCACACCTGAGCAATCGCCTATTGTTGTCTATACCTGGTTCTCTTCGGAGTTCCTAACGTTGTTCTATACCTGACCTGGTTGAGATAGGTCAAACGCTGGATTTGGTAGGGTTTATGCCACCTAGACTGCTCAACCTCAGTTGTTGGAGATCTCCTAGTTGTACATGTGTGATGACGCATTAAATATTAAGTTGTATATTGTTGTTGTTGTTGTTGTATTAAAGTTGCTTCTAAGTTGTATGAATGAGTTGGGTTTTTATGTTGAACTGTATTGTCGTTTGTGATGATGATTGATATGCATTAATATCTGTCATAAGATACATTTATTACATGATTGTTAATATGATGAAGTGTGTGGTGTTTGTCTTCATGATTGATGGATTGTATCTTATGCATGAGTAGTATTGGATAGAGTATGGTGTGACTCTATGAACATGATTGATAGTTGGATGATTGTGTGGTATAGACTATTGTTTGTACTTGTATGATTGATTTTTGAACTCTAGCTTACCCTTCTATTTCCATGTGGTGGAACTGCGATGATCATACTTGGTATGGGAGCAGGTCAGGGCTAGCTTGGAGTTGAGGTATCCGCTGCGAGACGGGAGTTTTGATCCTCGTGTTAGAGTTACCATTTTGGGCAACGATTTTGTCTGTGCTTAACTAACACTAGGGAATATTATTTTTGGGATAACTGGACATATATGAAATTCCATTTTATAACCAGAAACTTAGTTATTTTCATTTTTATTTGTACATGTATGTATGAATTATCTAGCTTAATATTTCTCTTAGTTTCACTAGTAGTAGTGCGATTCCACTAAGTGTAGAGATCTTGGCGAGTCGTTACAACAAACATCTTGAAACTTATCTAAAATGTGATAAAATTAATTCTTATAATCTTGATGGTGAAATTTTATTTGATGAATTAAAATTCTGTAAAAAAAATTTAAAATTTTAGTCAAAGCCAAGCTTATGATATTGAATGCTTTGGAGATATTTAATTATTTTTCTACTACTTGCATAGATTATAGAATAATATTAATCATTCTTGTTAGTGTTGCATCGGAAGTATTTCAAAATTGAAATTGTTAAAATCCTACTTGTAATCTATCATTGAATAGGCAGATTAAATAGTTTTGTTTTGATTTTTATTAAAAATAGTTTTAAAAAAAAATCTTGATTATGAACGCATCAACAATGATTTTGTAATAAAAAATATATAAAATTAACATTCAATAATAATCATGGACACCACTTCTTCGATTCGCACGGGAGACACACTCACGACCGATTCTACTTTGGACTTCCTAAATTTAGTTTTTCAATTATCAGTAACAATTTACACAATGTTGTTTAAAGAAAAATCTTGTGCCGGGTATGATCAGGTTGTAAAAGTTGTAGCCGGGTTTTGATTTAATAATATCCTTTCTTGTGCTTGTCTTGTATTGAGGGATACCAAATACGTCAACTATAGCATTAAATAGCGACTCAAAGTTGAAATGATCTATTAATTCAATTGTAGCAGCATAGAACAAGAGATTTTTTTTACTGACTTTAGTCTCTCCAAAACAAGTGTTTTGATCGCTGACAAAATATGATATCAAAACTGATGGAAAAATATTCTAAGTTACAAGATTATCCTTTTCCAATCGGCACTTAATTGGAGTATTGATCCGATGCTTACTCGTTATAAGCACGGAACACTAGACCGAGGTATCATTAAAATTGAGCGTTTGACACTTATTTGAATTTATTATGCGACACCATAATCTTTTGCTTCTTTTTTTTTTTTTTTTTTGAATTTCATAATTAATCGCCATAAATTTCCCATAAAAATAGTTTGAAATTATGCAAATGTGTGGGACCACATTATATGATGGTTGAAGCTGATCAAGTTGTGAACACTATTAACTGTAATATAGAAAGGACTACATTAAACCTTTCTATGCTCTAAGGCCGCCACATATATTTTTGCTCAATTTCATAGAAATTTCCCCAAAAGGATAGTAAGAGTACCCGAAATTTATCAGAAGATAAAAAAAAAAAAAAAAAGTGGCACACCATCAATAGAATTTTGTGTATCCGTTATGTCTTCCTTTTTGTGTTTTTTAACTCTATCGTATCCACTACTAAATTACTAACAAAAAGTAGCTATATAGTTTGAATTTATTCTACAACAACATTCTTGGGACTTCCTAAATTTTGGGTTTTCAAATATCAGCAATATATAATTGTGGATCCATCCCTACATCCTTGGATTTTAAGTCTCTTGTCTTTTTGATTTAAAATAAATCAATAAAATGAATAAAGAAAACCTTTTTTTTTAAATCCCCATGCAGAAACTAATCAAACTATTATCACTGGATGATAATTTCTGGACGGCTAAGGCTACTGATATCATTAACACTATTATTGCAACATGAGTTATGGGATACTCTGTGGGGAATGATCCTTCTAGGTTTCAGTTGTGTTATATCTCTCATATGTGTTAATTTTGGTGAGTTGTAGTGGTGAAGTGTTAGTAAAAGAATGTTTGAATTCTTTTGGTATGGTGAAGCCTCAGTATGATCAGATCGCTAAGGCCATGGAGATGATGGCCATGGCGATGTAGCAGCAGAGTGCTCACTTTGCTCAGATGGAGGCAGGTAGAGCTGCGGATGAGGCAGCTAGACCGGTGGTCTCTCAGGATGGGAGAGATTTAGCAGAGTTCAGGAGATGTCAGTCTCCTCAGTTTAAGGGGGGATTCAGATCCTAATGTGGCAGATCAATGGTTGAGCGAGATGGAGAAGATCTTCAGTGCTCTGGGGTCTTCTAAGGAGAGGAAGTTGGCCTATGCAGTTTACATGATGGCAGGAGCGGATGAGTACTGGTGGAGAGGCACCAGACAGATGATGGGGAGCAGAGGTGTGGTTGTAGATTGGGATTGCTTCAAGAGAGTTTTCTTGGAGAAGTATTTCCCGGACAATGTTAGATACGCTAAGGAGACGGTGTTTTTGAGATTGCAGCAGGGTGAGATGTCAGTGACCGAGTACGCCATGAGATTCGAGCATTTGGCACGCTTCTACACCCAAGCCATCTTTGAGGCTTGGAAGTGTAGGAAGTTTGCTGAAGGCTTGAAGTATGATTTGAGGAGAGTGGTGGTGCCTATGGTCATCACGGAGTTTCCAGCCTTGGTAGAGAAGGCAAACGTTGTAGAGCGGCTAGAGAGCTTCGGCAAGCCGGCGAAGACTGTTGGTGGGCCAGCTGGGTCCAAGAGTAGTGGTGGTTCTCAAAGGAAGCCTTATGACAGGCCCCAACTACAAGGGGGTTCTGCCACAAGGAAGTTTACTGAGAGAGCTAGGAGTGGAGCTCAGGTTTTTAGATGTTATCAGTGTGGTGGGCCACATATTGTCAGAGACTGCACTTCTACACAGCCTAGGTGTTTTAGGTGCAACAAGTTTGGCCATCTGGCCAAGGATTGCCCAGTTGGGGCAAGTCAGTCTGGAGGTGCTCAGAGGGTGGAGTGACCTAGGGCAGCAGGGTGAGTTTTTGCTTTGACAGGAACGGAGGCTTTCACCTTACCAGACTTGGTGAAGGAGAAGGGCAGAGCTACAGGTATAGAGGTTTCTATCCTGTTTGATTCTGGTGCTACACATTCATTTATATCTGTTGATTGTGTGGGGAGATTGGGTTTGTTGGTATCTGCATTGCATGTTGATTTGTTTGTGTCTACTCCGGCTTTAGTTTCTGTAGTGACGTCAGAGATGTGTGTGAGATGCCCGATAGAGGTGTTTGGTAGGAGGTTCTGAGTGAACCTGATTGTATTGCCTATGGTGGATATCGACATAATCTTAGGGATGGATTGGTTATCTGCCCATCACATCCTTATAGATTGTGCTCGGAGAGAGTTGGTATTTCCTTAGTTGGAGGATGAGGTGTTGGTATCAGCGGGTCAGGCTGAGTAGTTGAGAAGGGATGGAGCTGAGTGCTTCATGTTGTTTGTAGCTTTGAGTATTGAGACAGAGAGGGCCATCACTGGGATTGAGATTGGCAGTGAGTTTCCTGAGGTGTTTGCAGATGATGTGTCGGGATTGCCACCTCTGCGTGGTGTTGAGTTTAGCATTGATCTGGTACTAGGTGCAGGACCGGTATCAGTGGCTCCTTATAGGATGGCTCTAGTTGAGTTGGTAGAGCTGAAGAGACAAATTGAGGATTTGTTGGAGAAACAGATGGTGAGGCATAGTGTTTCTCCTTGGGGTGCCCCGATACTATTAGTAAAGAATAAGGATGGTGAGGCCCATTTGTGTGTTGATTATCGGCAACTAAATAAGTTGACGATAAAGAATAAGTATTCACTTCCGAGGATTGATGATTTGATGGATCAGCTGAGGGGAGCTTCGATATTTTTGATGATTAATTTGAGATCCGCATACCATTAGATCAGGGTAAAGGAGAGTAACATACCGAAGACTACTTTCAGGACTAGGTATGGTCACTATGGGTATTTAGTGATACCTTTTGGTGTCACTGATGCTTCGGCAGTGTTTATGGATTACATGAACATGATTTTCAAGTCATTCTTGGACAGGTTTGTGGTGGTCTTCATTGAGGATATATTAGTGTATTCTAGATCTTTGGAGGATCACCGTGAGCATCTAAGGTTGGTTTTAGAGGTGCTGAAGGAGAGGTAGTTGTATGCCAAGCTGTCCAAGTGTGAGTTTTGGTTGTCTGATGTGAGATTTTTGGGGTATGTGATATCGGTAGAAGGGGATTGCAGTGGATCCATCCAAAGTGGAGAGTGTGATTCAGTGGGTGCGTTTGAGGACTACTATGGAGATTAGGAGTTTTGTTGGGTTAGCGGGTTATTATCAGAGATTCATAGAGGGTTTCTCTCGAATAGTAATGCCTTTGACTCAACTGACTCGGAAAGATCAGTCTTTTGTTTGGATAGACGCTTGTGAGCAGAGTTTTCAGGAATTGAAGGGGTGATTGACTACTTCTCCAATTTTGGTATTACCTGACACTGGTGAGCATTTTGATGTGTTCTGTGATGCTTTTCACCCGGGGTTGGGTTGTGTGTTGATGCAAGGAAGGAGAGTAGTGGCATATACTTCGAGGCAACTTAAGACTCATAAGAGGAATTATCCTACTCATGTTTTGGAGCTTGTAGCTGTGGTGTTTGCCTTGAAGTCGTGGAGGCACTATCTGTATGGTGCGAGATTCAGTGTATTCAGTGATCACAAGAGTTTAAAGTACCTGTTAATTTGATCAGAAGGAGTTGAATATGAGGCAGAGGAGGTGGATGGAATTCCTAAAGGACTTTGATTTCCAGTTGATGTATCATCCTGGGAAGGCGAGTGTGGTAGCAGATGTATTGATTAGGAAATCCATTCATATGTCGGCTATGCTGATTAGGGAGTTGGAGATGATTGAGCAATTCAGAGATTTGAGACTAGAGGTGGAGGTTGTTCAAGATCACATTAGTTGTGGTATGATCGCCATAACTAATGAGTTCTTGAGACAGGTGGGAACTAAGCAATTATAGGATACAAAGTTGTTAAGGATTTTGGGATTGCTTGGTACCGAGAGGGCAGCTAGTTTTGAGCTTAGTGTTGATGGAGATTCCCAAGTGGGAGTGTGATAGTGTCACTAAGGACTTTGTGGTTGGGTTGCCTAGGACAGCTAGGAATAGTAACTCTATCTGGGTGATTGTTGATAGGTTGACAAAGTGTTCGCACTTTCTTCTTGTCAAGAGGTGTCCTTGGAGAGGCTTGCACAGTTGTATATTAGAGAGATAGTACAGTTGCATGGAGTACCTTCCAGTATTATCTTTGATAAGATCCAAGGTTTACTTCTAGGTTGGCAGACTCTGCATCAGGCTTTGGGGACGAGGTTGAGGTTGAGCTCCGCTTACCATCTACAGACAGATGGTCAGTCGGAGAGGACAATTCAGTCACTAGAGGATCTCCTAAGAGCTTGTGTATTGGATCATCTAGGTAGCTGGGAGGAAGTGTTTGTTGAGATTCATAGTGGTGAATCAACTCACCTCTGAAGATTGAAGGTTTTGATGATAACAAAGTGAGGAACAAAGCTGACCAAGTATCAAAAAGTCAAAAACAAAGTCAAGAGGAAAAATATGACTATCATGTTGTAATAGGAGTAGTTTAAAAATTGTATTGTGTTGTTGAGCTTATTTTTCATGTGTATGCTTTGTGCATAAACTAATCTTTATCTAATCTAATTAGGAGTGAGTATGATGATGAGTTTGAAGCTTAAGAAGTTATTTTGAGACATAAAACAGAGTTTTGAAAACTAACTCAAAATAATCGATTATCATTAAATATAATCGATTATTCCAGCAACAGATAAAAAGGATACCTTGCTACAATAATCGATTATTTATGAAATAATCGATTATCCCAGGAATCACTCTCTGGAATAATCGATTATCCTGCAAAATAATTGATTAAATTGTTCTTGGTTGATTTCCAAAAATCATGAAGAACAAAATAATCGATTATTCTTTAAAATAATCGATTATCTGGTTCTGAAAAACTTATAAATAGTTTGCACATTTTGAAACTTCAGAGAAAAGATAGAACAGAGAATCAAAAAGAGAAAAACGTGATTGTGAAGTCTTTGTGACCTTCTTGGAGAGTTTTCTTTGTGAAACCAAGAAGAAAAACGTTTTTGAAATGCTTTGAGAAAAGATCATCGTCATCATCACATTCTTGAAAAGATAAAGATTAAGATTTGCTTCTGAATTCCAGGTGAATTCGTTCCTTAATTCTTTGTGAATAATTGTAAATCTTGAGTGGGTTTCTCAAGTGGTAAGGAATTCTTGTAGTGGGTTTCTATAAGGGGTGCTTTCTTGGGGTCAAGAAAGTGATTATTTTGAATGTAGGAGTGTATGCATGTGTGGAATGCTTGTAAAACTTTTTCATTAAGATAATGGAACAAATCTTGATCAGGTTATGATTGAGGACTGGATGTAGGTCACATGTGGAGTGGCTGAACCAGGATAAAAGACTTGTGCAATCTTATCTTTTACTTTGTGTAATATCTTGGTTGTATGTTGAAGAGATTATTCTTGATTAACATGTTTGTATATGCAACATTGGTTTAAACTGAATCAAAGTATTACATATTAATTGTTCTTAACTTTGAATCTCATTAATGGTTAATCAAGAAAGCATATAGGATTCATTTTTCATTAACAAGTCTTTAAGTAACTTCTTTGAAAATTCATATTAGAAAAGTTTGAATTGAAATAAAGATCCTAAGAACTCTGAAAATTTTAAAGTTTCATAGAATCCAATTCAACCCCCCTCTTAGATTAAGCCATTCTTTTCCAACAGTGTTACCATTAGTGGAGTTTACCTACAATAACAGTTATCACTTGAGTATTGGCATGGGCCTTTTGAGGCTTTGTATGGCAGGAGGTGTAGGACTCCATTATGTTGGAATTAGGAGGGTGAGTCAGTAATGGTTGGTCTAGAGTTAATTCTTTAGACTACTAAGATGGTGAGACAGATTCAGGAAAGGTTGAGGGCTACCCAGAGTCGACAAAAGTCGTATGCTGATAGGAGGAGAGGAGACCTCTAGAGTTTGAGGAGGGAGAACACATGTTTTTCAGGGTGGCACTCACTACTGGTTTGGGAAGGGCAGTAAGGGCTAAGAAGCTTATTTCGAGGTTCATTGGTCCTTACTAGATCCTTCGTCGTGCAGGTTCGGTAGCTTATCAGTTAGCGTTGCCTTTGGTTCTGTCCAACCTGCATGATGTGTTTCATGTTTCACAATTGAGGAAGTACATTAGAGACTTAAGTCAAGTGGTAGAGATGGATGAGGTGCAAGTTAGAGAGAACTTAACCTATGAGAAGAGACTGGTAGCTGTGGTTGATCACAAGTTGAAAGAGCTTCGTGGCAAGTCCATCAGCTTGGTGAAGATTCCTTGGGATGCAGCTACTAGTGAGGCTACCTGGCAGGTGGAGAGTCAGTTTAAGCAATAGTATATATTCCTCTTTTTAGGTAACCCTATTTTCTGGGACAAAAATTCCTGTTTGTTGGGGGGTATTGTAACGTAGTAGGTTATTTCAGAAGGCCCAAAAGCTCAATATGGGTGATTTAGTAGCCCAGAACGGGCCGTTCCCAAACTGGAACGGGCCGTTCTGATTTTAGAACGGGCCGTTCTGCATGTGATTTTTGAACATGATGAAGGGGTGCAGAACGGGCCGTTCCGGATTCGGAACAGGCTATTCTGGCCACTCTGAGATTTCTATAAATAGGTGTTGTGTGGTTGAGGAGAAAGTGAAGTTTTTAGAGAGAAGTTTTAGAGAGAAGGTCTCTGGGTCTGTGAGCTCCTTTCTCTCCCAAATTTCTCTGTATGATTCATTTACTCCTCTAGATCACTAATGTCTTCTATTTTTTCTTGAAATTCAGATTAGGAAGCTTTCTTTGGGAGGATTGAAGTTTCGGGTTAAGCTTTGGAAGGGAATTCTACTTCTTCTCAGTTATTGGCTATTTTGCGTCAATCTTCAGGTGAGGGAAACTAGAATATAGGTTGTTTAATTTCAAGAGAGTTAGGGAAGCTTTATGCATGGTGTTTTTTTGTTGAAATAGTTGAGTTGTTGGGTGCTTAAGTTGATTTATGTTGTTTATATTGTGTAAGTTGACATGATAAATGAATTTTAAATATGTTGTATATTAATTGTTGAAGTTGTTTATAAAGTTGTTAAGTTGCATTAAGTTGATATTGTAATGACTAAAGTTGCATAGTTGTATGATTGAATAAGAAGTTTCCAAGCTGGTATATAATGCTTATTGTTGTATTGTTGTAAGTTGTCTATTGTTGTTAAGATGCCTATTATTGTAAAGTTGTTAAGATGTCTATTGCTGAAAAGTTGTATGTTGTTTAAGTTGTTAAGCTGATTAAGCTGTGATGATGAGTTGTTGATCATTAGGACTAGGGGAGATATTTTCGAAGTTGCTCATTCCATTGTGTGCATTGAGATAGTTGTGGTGCTCTAAGAGCCCAATTTGTTGAAAAATCCTCCTTGGGAAGTTGTCCATTGGAGTGCATGTTGTGTTGTTCTCCTCTAGGACTTAGTTGATCCCGTGTGTGGGCAAGGTCGAGACACACGTGTACAAAGCGACCACGGTATAGGGGTCAGGCCGAGCTATACCGATTACAAGTGGCCAGATGTTTATTGTTGTAAAGTTGTTATGGTGTTTATTGTTGTAAAGTTGAAAAGTTGGGGACATATGGTGAAGATATATGTCCTATGTTGAGATACATAGTACTAAGGTGATAAGTTGAAAGTTGTTTTAAAGTTGAATCCCTTAGTACTGTGTGGGCGACATGGAAATAGTCGATCCATGTCATGGTTGAATGACCAATTTGAGTAAGGTATCTAGTTAGAGATGTAGTCTTTGACTAGGTACTGGAGGGTGCGTGGTACTTGGAGGACAGTGGGTGGGCTAACTCCACATGTGGATTGGTGATGCTAGTCAAGGTCGTGGTAGGCTCACACCCAAACCCTTTTGTCCTAACAGTAGTAGTAGACCTCTGAGTTTAAGTGGCACACCTGAGAAATCGCCTATTGTTGTCTA